CATACACAAAGCCCCTGTGGCGGGGGGGGGGGGGGGACCTAGAAAAACCAGTGAGCCTAGAGCACAAAGAGGAGAAAGAGAACGGGGAACACACCATCCAAGAGTTTGTAGGCTTTACTGAAGATCTTAGTCTTCATAGAAGAAACAATAGGAAGCCATGAAAGGATTTTAAGCAGAAGGGTAACATGATCAGCTGTTCTGGGAATCAGGAATCATCCTGGAAGCGAGTCGCAGATCCCCAGCTTCTGTGTTTCACGACAGTGCTAGAGCTGAGGCAGGCCTGCAGCAGTGTAGCCAGCAATTTCTCTAGACTTTATAAGCCAGTGGTTCTCAAAGTGTGGTCCCCAGACCACCAGCTTCAACATCCCCTGGGAACTTGTTAGAAATTCAAATTCTTAGGCCCCACCTCAACCTACTGAATCAGAAACACTGCGGACAAAGCCCAGCAATCTGCTTTAATAAGCCCTGGGGGGATTCTGATGCAGGCTGAAGTTAGAGAACTACCAACCCATCTCAACAGGGCTTGGGATCACAGGAGGAAATGAAGGCTGAGAGAATCAATGACATTCGTTTGTCTGTTTACGTTTCCAATTTAATACAGAGGTGGCCATATTGGTAAGAAGACATTTTTATAGACAAAATGCATTCATTCAACAATATTTTAAGCATCTGCCATGTGCCAGGCACCATTCCAGACTATGAGGATTTAACGGTGAGTAAACTCACATAGACCCAGCTCTCACGAGCTAATTCCTTACAAGGCAGTGTCTGGGCACATAACAGAACAAAGGAGTCCAGCCTTCAGCCTGCGCATATTGTGTGCATGACACATTAGTTGTTGACGTGTACAGCACACATACATCCCCAAGCCACTCCACCTTCATTGAAGGATGATTCAAGGATGAAGATCTTGCAGCATGTGAATCCCAGGAAGCTGACCGGCAGCCATCATGTGCTCACCCAATAATCCATTTACCCTGTGTTAATGACACTTCGGGGCTGCAGCCACATTGTTCGCTGTCACCAGTACTCCCTGACATTGAGGCTCACTGCCTGCTTCACCTTCTCAGAGGGTCTCAATCTCCACACCAGATGACATTGTGTCACCAGGGTGGTCAACAGGCAAGGCCAAAGTGACTTCTACATTTCAGAGGAAATGTCCACAACCCTAAACTAACCCCACCCCAAACGCTGCAGTACCCTAGAGGAGAGCACAAGTCACATGTTCACACGGAAATGCAGGGTATCACCGGGCTGGTGTGGGGAAGTTGGAAGGGCAGATAATTAGATGCTGGCACGGAAGAGGAAGCAAAAGATGGGGTCCATTTATCCGTGTGAAACCAATACCTTGCAGGTGGTTATGCAAAGTCGTGTGTAAATCAAAATTCTCTGTTTCTAAGGCAACAGCTCTGGGGGCATGAGAAAGAAGCCTACATTTGTGTTTGGGGGAACAATCTTTCTCTAGCACTTTGGCCTTTATGTGAACCCTGAAAGTGCCCTTCTAGCCCAGGACGAAGTCGGGCTCCGGTCTCCCGGTCGCCCCCTAGCTGAGCGCTTGGGAACTCGATTCAGGACGGAAGCCTGCTGTGTGTGTGCGGTGGCCGAGGGGAGAGTGAACGGGGTGTCAAGGGGTCCCGGGGATAGGCCAGTCACCCTACCTCGTGAGGCTGGACAGGGCGGGGGGCGACCTCCTCAATGGCCAGGGGCTGCTTCAACTCGGCGCAAAGCGCGGCGCGGTAGTGGCGGCCGCAGCCCAGTCCGGCCCTCCTGCAACACGGAACAAGGGCCGGTTACTCGGGGCGACCCTGGGGGCCGCCTTTTGGAGCCCAGGGAAGAGTCAGGGTCGCACCTGCGGAGCCACGCGCGAGAGAAGCACCGTGCCCACACCACCGCCGCCATGGCCCGCGCTCGGAGTCGCGGGAGGGTAGTGGTCCGAGCGTGGCAGGAAGGGCGGGACAGCCCCGCCCCGCCCCGGCCCTGCCCCGAAGAGCGGAAGAGCGGCCGCCCGGCGGCCTGGGGACGCGACCCGACCCGGCGGCCGGCGCCCGGAACCGCGCCGCGGGCCAGCTCCCCGGCAGGGCGCCGTGCTTCTCCCGGGAGCCTGAGCGGGGTGCGCGGACCCTGGGGCGCCCGAGCCCCTTCTTCCCCAGTCCTCCCTGGAGGTGGAGCCCGCGGGGGGAGGGGGGCGAGTAAAAGGAAATGGATTACCCGGATTGACCTTTGTTGGGATTTCTTTTTCTTTTTCTTTTCCTTTTTTTTTTTTTTTTGGTGAGGAAGATTGGCCCTGAGCTAACATCTGTGCCAGTCTTCCTCTATCTTGTATGTGGGACGCCTCTTTGGGAGACTTTTAAAACCACACTTGGCCACATGTAAATAGCCGTTCTTGGGTGCTCTGCACGTGCTCAATCCTAAACACATAAGTAAAGGTTTTAATGTCTGCATTCAACACCTCACTAGAGTTCAATTCTTGTTACTAATTTTTTTCACACTTACAGGACCATTTACACTAAAACTACACGGTTACTAGTAATCCAAGGGTGAATGACCCTACACAAATCCAAAGAATACTTGCAATTAAAGTCAGGCCAAACCCTTATAGTTTTCATGTTCCCAGTGCCTATATTATGCCTAGCACGTAGTAGATGCTCAATAATTGATTCAATGACCACATAATTCCTAGGTGAACAGGTATACTCTGGGAAAACTGAAAACATAACAGTATACTCTATGAAATATTATAAAACTGGGTAGATCTCTATTGCAATAGTAACCAAATATTTATATACTAGCAATATAAGAGAAGCCCATGTTATCCTGGGAAGAATGTTTCATTTGACAGGCAGCTTTTAAAGACAGCATGATGTCAAAGAGTACAGCCTCTCAGGTTCAAGCCCAGCTTTACCACCTATTTGTGTGGCTTTGGCATTGACACCTGATGGCTGTGGTGTCAGTTGCCTCCTCCATAAAGTGAAAGTGTTGGGCAGGATAATCCTCAAGTTTCTAAACTCTGTTTCTATTTTTTGACAGAAATGATATTCCAAGATAGGAAATGATCTGGAAGGAATGATCAGGAATGGAATAAAGGAAAAATAGAGAGCGAAAATGAAGTAGGAAGGAATTTCTGAGATTATGACCTAAAGGCTTTGGTGGGAAAGGAATCCAAGAACCAAGTCCTCACCACAGGTATATAGTAGAGGTCCCTGATATCTTAAGAGCGCTCATGGGGAATTTGAAGTCATTTTAGCCCCGTCACCCTCAGGAGGAAACTCAGGCCTAAGAGGAACAAGGACTAGAAGGTGAGAAGATGAAAAAAGTTGTTTTCAATGAGACACTTTGTAAACTCTTAGTCATTAGGCACATAAAATCAAACGAGGAATAATGGAGAAATACTAACATTATCATCATCAAAATGAACATTCTGGTTGCCAAATAGTGAGCAACAAGAAATCTCAAGTTTACGAAGTGTGAAACCAGGATTGATTGTTCTGAAGATGAAATGAGTTGTTACATGTGGAAAGTGTTTTGTAAAATATTACGTATTTACACAAGATATAAAGCAAGCAATTTTTAATTGAGCTCCTTGAAAGCAGCAACCATTTCTTAATCTCCTTGACGTTTACAGTACTTTGCACAATGCAACACTTTTAGGCATTTAATACATGCTTATCTAATGAATTGTTGAATGAGCACTCAGTTATCTAGTATCAATTTTCTAGATAATTGGAAGTATCTTTAAGCATCAAGTCTTTTATTTTTGATTAAGTATTTTTGTGGAAATTTTTTTTCTTATTGTGATTTTCATAATATCCTTGTCATTCTCAGGGAATATGAAAATCAGTGAGTTTGAAGAAATCTATCAACGCTGCATTCTACATTTATAACAATATCTGAAGAAAATAGTAAAAGTCCCTTCAAGAAGAATCTGGGAGGGAGATGAAAGAGTCTTAGGTAATTGAGGTAATTTAAGCATTTATATGTAAGATAACGTTCACATTTCCAAAGAGCTTCAAAGGTAACTGGCAAGGCATTTAATTGTAGTTGCTATAGCAGCGAAAGAAATATTTAGCCTATTCATCAAAGTGCTGCCACCACACCACACAGTCTAGTTTTTGTTATCGTTTCTGGTTATTTTGTTTTATTTGGGGGTAAGGTAGAACAGTGGACAGGAAGAATAAAACTTGAGTGCTGGGGGAGAATAAGACCAAGCAGCTACATCTGAACTGATGGGTCCTCCGGGAAGAAAGCAAGAATCGGTAACTGCCGTGCAAACCAGTTTGAGGGCTCATTAGGAAGTAAAAGAGGAACAGATGACCCTTCCCTCTCGTACAAGTCACATGGAGAGAGAATATTTAACATCCAGAAGCTGCTGGAGAGCTGAGGGTGGGGAAGGAAATCAGAGCTGAATACACAAACAGCTATGTTTTCACAGAATAATAGACAGACAAGATATAAACAATATAAGCACCATTCAGGACTATGCTGAAAATGTAAAAGTATCCCCACAGTTAAAATGCCTTATCCAAAAGTTTGTCGGCTCCCTGAGAATAGAGACTGTGTCTCTGTGGCCCAGAGTTTACCACCACATCTGGCACGTAGCAGGCACTCAATAGGAAGCCAGGGGCCCTGCAAGCTGTGTGGGAGAGCTACCAGCACATTACTATCCAAAGCCACAGCCAAAACATTTTAAGAGGTCTTGCGCCCAATTCCCAAAGTAGGCAGTTGCTGGGCATAATCTGGTTTTTTTTCTGACAAGTTCAGTATTGCCATTGTAGATATAAGTTATTGTCTTCTGCCACAATGATGTGCTCCAAGATTCCTGAGGTGTATGTAGTTTGCCCTTTCATTGAATTCCCCCAGATTTCTCTTTCTGGTTGTTGCAGTTGGGGTTAAGTGTTACCAACCTCAGATATGAACTTTGGCCGTTGATGTATGTAGTACATACTGACCTTCTATTCTATTCCAAGAACCGTGTAAGGTTTGCTTAAGGTAACTTCTTTGCTCCAACACTCATGGATTCATAGCACTTCAGAGCTGGGATGATCGTCAGGATAATTTAATCAAACTGCTTCATTTACAAATGGAGAGGAGCGGCTCAGAGAGAGGCTGGCCCAAGCTCACACTGCGGGTTAGCAGCAGGAGCAGCATCAGGATCTGCCTTTCCTGAGTTCTTGTTCTACCTGCTTCTCTTTCCACCAAGCTCTTGGTTTTCACTCAACAGTATACACAATAATAATAATATTTCATATTTTCATAGGATTTCATAGGTTTCAAATCACTGTCACTCAAATTGCTTCATCCCGCCAATGATGAGAGTAATAAAAATCATTACAACCAGCACCTGTTGGTAACATAACAAACCAGTCACTAAGGGCTTTTGCATTATTCCGTTAGTCCTCACAATAGTCCTATTATGAGGATACTATTATTTTTACTCTTTTATAGATCAGGAATGTAGGCTTAAGGAGGTTAAGTAACTTGCCCAAGGCCACACAGCTAGGACATGGAGCAGTTTAGAAGCCTCCTAATTGCCTGATGCCAGAGCCCCGACAATGGTATCCGGCTGCCCACCGTGCCTTCCCTCACAGACGCCCTCCGGAGCAGACAAAGAAGGCATTGTACATACATTTTAAAGCCATGCTCTGCTTGTAGTTTTAAGCTTAATTATATAGGAATTTTACAGTAGTTCAAGCCTAGAAAATAGATGAATTTCCTGAAGGAGAGAATATAGAGAAAGCAGCCTCCAAGAAGGCCTGCAGTTTAGGGAGCAGGAAGAGAAGCTGACACGTAATTAGGAGTTACTACCCTATTCCATATAGCCAGAAGCTTGAAAGTGTATTGATTTCATTTAAATTTAAAGTATAATGTGTAAGACTAAAACTGTGATTATGTACAGTAGTTTACACATACACAAATATGATTTTAATGAAACAAATGTGCTGACTGGGTTGCCTGGTTACCAGTCATTGCTTAAGCAGGTACCAGCAGGAGTTGGGCTAAATTCCTGGCACCCGGATGGACTAATTTGGAAGCAGTGGTGACCTGGGCAATGGCTGCCATGGCCCCTAAAACTAACCATCAGTATTTGATGCAGGCATCTGTTTTCCTCCTTAAACCATCATTATGGAACCAGTTTACAAGTTCCTAAGCATTCTGGCAACTTTATGAAGCCTTTCCAACCCTCATTTCCCCCAGAGAGAACATATGTTCTTCCATATGTTCCCCCAAAGAACTTTGTGTAAACCTGTATTAGCTCGCTAATCTCATTGTTCAGGCGGCATTTTTCTATTTATCCATCCCAGCAGCTATGCTGTGAGCATTGTGGATGGTTCTGATGATAACATAGTGAAGTGAAAAGAATCTGGGGCTTGGAATCAGATGTTTGATTCCTGGCTTACCACTTACCCATTGTGACCTTGGGATAGTTATTTAACCTCTCTGTGACTCTATTTCCTCATCTGTAAAACAAGCATAATAATACCCTCCTCAGGTGGTACTTGTGAGAATTATACAAGGTAAGTGAGTACATGGCAGCACTTAATAAATGGCAGCTCTTATTATGAAGACAGTCCCTGCCCTTGAACTTCTCATCATCTAGAGGAGAGAGGCACACATAAATAGGCATCTAAAACGCCTGTGATATGTCCTATGACAGAGGGCTGCAGAGGGGGCTGTGAGAGCACAGAGAAGGTCAACCTACTCCACCTGGAGAGCGTCATTTCAAGAAAGCCTCCCAGAGGAAGGATGAGGAAGAATTAGCCAGGCAGAGAGCACAGCTAAGTGTGTTGCAGGCAAAGGAGTGCATGAGGGAGAACATGGCATGTTCAGTTTATTGTAAGTGCTCAGTTATGACTGAAGTTATGGTTTGAGCCAGAGACGGGTGAGGGATGAGGCTGGAGAAGCAGGTGGTGGTGTAGAGAGAGCATAGGTTTTGGAATCA